TCGGTTTTTGCCCCAATCAAAACCCAACCCAACATGATCAGTTTGATCAAAATTTAACCCAACTCAATCCGTGTAAATGTTGAAACCCAACCCAACCCAACCCAACCCAATCAAGTATCTGTTGGTGGGTTGAATTGGGTGGGTCGGTTTGGGACGACTTGTCAACAAAAATTAAAGTCGTCCAATTTTCTATTATATTAAATTCGAATATGCAAGATTAAATAGTAAGTAAATAAATAAATAAAATTATCTATTATCTAATTCAATTCTCATTACCCGAGCTTACAAAGAACAAAGTGCATTTAATATAATATGAAAAACTTATATTATATTTCTTGTAGGAAGAATGGTAAGCTCCTCCTCTAAAATAGACCAAGGTAATTACAGTTACACTATCTACTCATACTTTTTAGGTTTCTTTTACTTTTCTAGGCAATTTATTTATTTTATTTTTTTTAGTGGTGGGTTGGGTTGAACGAGTTTATTCGATTTTCTTGAGTTAACCCATAACTCGGCCCAACTCAACCCGCCTATACATCCAACCCACCCAACCCGTGTAAAAACAACAAAAAAACCAACCTAACCCGGTCAGGTTGGTCCGGTTTGGACTGTTTGAGCGGGTTCGATCGGGTTTTGTCCATCCCTACCTGCTGCAATATACTTGTCTGGAGCATCCTCTTGCAATTTGATGAAAAAGCATGCAATTCTGCTTGAAAAACAAGCTCAATGACAGGTTTTGTGACACACATACGCTTGACAAATTTCCATTTGCAGTTAACCTACTTCATTGGGAGAGTTCTATTCGGTTGATTGAAGTCCATTCTCGTCATGATCAATCCACGCCCTACTGTAGTGCCCGGAGAACCAGGCCTGCTTAGCTTACACAAAAAGTTGCCAATAAAAAACTGTCAAATCGATTTATCAAAAAATGGCCGGTCATGAGCCTGTTCAAGTAGCATTATTCAAAAGCATGGCATTGTAGTTCTACACCGTTGTTTTGCTTATTGCGTATTTCATTATCAAATTTGGGGAAGGAT